ACTGCTACTGCTGCTGCGACTACCACCACCACCACTAACAACGTCAGTGGCAGTGCCCCAGTGATTTTGCCTTGGTTGCCGCTGCGAGCTCAGAACCGAAATTTCGTGCCTGAATATAGATATTCGCAAATGAGCGGTTTGGGGCGGGGTTTGAGTCAAAGAATTGAGGGGTGGCGATTGATTCACTTTCAACGCAGGGACCTGCTGAAGTTGCTACAGCGTACCTGCATCGAAGGGAGGATCTCTGCAGTTCCCCTCCCCTTCGCACACGTCATCTCCTCAGTCTGGCCTCGGCACCTCTCCAAACCGGTGCAACCGGTGCCCGCGGGCGGCGAGGCCTTGCTGCCATCATGCCCACATGCCATGCTGCGTAACACAACATGCTTCTGTCAGCTCGAACTTTGTGATTCTGCATCGGTCAGGGTCAGCCAACTTCCATCCAGCAGGAAGGTCTTCGATGCAGCCTGGCCGCGTTGAAGCTCTGGTGGGAGGTGTTTGGCGGACAGCCGCCACCGCAGCTGAAGCGACAGCGTCACCAGCAGGCCTCGTATTGAGCTCTGTAGTTTTGAGCCCTAGCTCTGTAAAACATCTCCGCATACCAAGCCGGATACTCAGTCCAGTGCTGGGTTGAGGGGACCAGGTTCGACTTGGACAGCAGAGGCATCTGCGGATCCACAGCGAAGAAGTGTGGGGCATGGTGGTTCACAAGAGATACGACATCTCACGTGGACCAAAGAGGAGCAAGCTCGGTTGATGTTGATTTACAGTATGAATGAAAACATCCGACAAAAGAGGTGCCCTATCGGGTCCATCGATCGTTTTGCGTATTTGCAAGCTTGTCTCCAATGAAGAGCGGGCCATCCTTAAACCCGTGGAGCATCCTAAAGAAGAGTCTCGCGGTCGAGAGGGTTCCATGGCCTCCGCCTCCTCGCCCCCGCGCAGAGGCGACAGCGTTCCTCGCAGGTAACAAGAGCTTCGAGGAGTTGCTCTGCTGGACCCACTGCGATGGGCACCTGAACCTCGCGAGGGATCGCCTGGCCTCCGCACCGGAGACCTCAGTCTGTCATCAACCCCGCCACCGACATGCCTCACAGCCACGCTGCTAAGCCGGCATAGCCGTTGCTACTCAGCCATTACACGACCTGACTAGCGTGAACCGGAGCTGCCCACAACGTCTCATGCTAGGCGCACGGCGGTGTTGCCCTGGCCAGATTCATGCGGAGGTCCTGGCATCGGCAGACGATTGCGGCAGAACCTTCGTTTCTGCAGGACATGAAGAGGGGATGGAAACACGCTTTGCTCCTCGATCTCGCGCCGCACCGAGACTAGCTCAGAGGCCTGGACATCCTGCATTTCGTAAGCCTCGAAGAAACAGACTGTTTCCGAACATTCCAGGACTCAGTCTGATGTCCACCAAGCCTTGGCCAACTCTGCATGCAGCTGCGGCAGCTGCTGCAACACCGCTGCCTAGACTCACAAGAGCGAGGAACAGTAACAGCATAGCATGGAAGATCTTGGAAAGCTCAAAGAGCACTTAAAGGCCAAGCAGCCATGTCCATCCGCTCTTCACTCGTCTCTGCCCCTGCCAGACCACACGCATAGGAAAACACACTCCCTCCACACTCCGGGAAGGCTGCTGCTCAGCTGGTGCTTTTCAGCCAGCCCACACTCGGCGCATCCCAGCACCACCCCAGTGCAATCGGACTTTCCTCCCTGTTGCATGTGGTGACTTGCATTGCATGTCGGTGCGCTTGGTCATCCTTAAACTCCATTCCTGTCTCCATCCTGCATTCGTTTTGCATGCTGCCTTGACCTGAAGAAGACCAGCACTCTGTTCTGGACCAATCTTGAGACTAGGATTTCATGTGTTGGAGGTCGTTTAATGACTTGCCACTGAGGTCTTGAGGTTCGAGAAAGCTTTGAGTAGCAATGTAGGTTGAATCGAATGGCTTTGCGGTGCAATGGAACGATCTTCTGATCAGGAAAGTTTTAGTCAATGTGAAGCGGACGAGCCATGAAAAGATATCCTCTTGCACTTGGCTGCTTTGAATGTTTTTTGCTGCACCTTACAAACGGAAAGTGACAGTGATCCTCTGAGTTTTCTGGGCTGCAAGGCCTGTCGACCTTCTGCACCCACAGCGACGAGACTGGAAGCGCGCTCCATATTTTGTGTACTCGGTCCGTTTGCTCGATGTATAGAGGCCTCAACGGTTTAAACCAAACATTTTGTGTCCTTAATGTATATGGATGCTACAGACTCGGCATCAGGTATAATGCAAGTCGCTTACCACAAAACTTGCCACTCGGGACCAGTGCTCGCTGACGTGGCTGAGGAAAGCTGCTTCCTTGAGAGTCGAAAGATGCTACAGCCACCGAGCCGCAACAGCAGTCTTTAGGGCTGACACCACATAGGAAGGGACGCAGCCTGCACAGAGAAGATGAGTCTGCACGACACGACAGTGCTTCGCTCACGGCCCGGTCCCGCTGATCACCTCCTGTGTGTGGGCAGATTCATCAGGTCCAGGCCCTGCCACAGCGAGCAGTGCAGGTGCAGGTGCAAGTGCTTTGCCGAGAGTCTCTTCTTGCGCGCCTGACGTGGCCTTTAGGACTGGGATCCGGCTCTGGGCCTCTCGGAGGAAGAAGCAGCTCCGTGCTGAACTCTGTAGGACGTGCGCCTGCCAGGGGTCCAGGTCGCCCTCTTCTCCCCAGGGCTGGTCTCGTAGTGCAACCTGGCACAAAGTATACATCCCTCGTCTATCTGTGCCCGGAGAAGCAAACTTCGGAGGTGTGGCACAAGCCTCTCTGCTGCAGCAGTTGCAGCTACATGCGAGTTCTGAGACATGTTCTCGAGATCCGGCTTTTGCGCTGGGGAAGGTCTTCACAAACGGACTGAAGATTGGCCTCGTCGTAAATTTCTCTCATGACCTGCTCCCATGCAGAAACGCAGCAGGCTGGATGTGCCCAGCTGTGACAGCTTGTTTCAAAAACTGGAGCAATGAAGCCAGCCTCCAGCCGCTGCTGAAAGTCTGGCAAAGTCCAAGTTGCAACCACTTCGGACCTGATGAACGGGCAGTGCCAGCGATGACAAACCGCAAGCAGACACACAGACACATTTACAAACACACCAACTTCAGCCAGAATTTACTTCGCAGTATGTAGCGAGTGCCAGAGGCCACAAGATGTGATGGCACCAAAGATACTGGTTGTTGTTGCAATGGAGGGCTCACATAAATCATGAGAGGTGACCAGAACCTTGCCTTTCTTCCCCATTGCAGCCCCCATTGTCTTCATCGAAGTGTTCCTGGCCTCGCATTGCTTTCAAGCTGTCGTCGAGTTTCGTGTTATTAGGTTCTTCTCTTCACGGCAAGTGGGGCAGACAGATGGCACTGCTGCTTCCGCTGATATCACGCATGATCGCACCTGGCGGTCGGCGCTGGCGCAGAAGAGAGACGACCAGCGTGGTCGCCTGCTTCGAAAGGAAACCCTGAAATCGAGCTGGCAACCGCGACCCCGGCATCCCCAGGACGAGCCCTGGAGGCCGTGAGGCCTCTGTGCTGTTCAGGGGATCCATCAAACGATGTCCCTGCGCACAGAGGCAGAGAGCGTCTGCGCATCTCAAGGCGATCTACAGTTTGCTCACCGATCCAGTCTTCGAGATTCGAAAGGGTTCGAAGAGCCCAGTGAGGGCACCCGGGACAACGGCAATCCTTGAAGGACAAGCTGCACCAGCTGGCCTTGAAGGAAAACTCCTCATCACTGTCCCCTCTGAGTTCCTTGGTGAGCTCGTTTGCCTGGCAACGAGACCCTCCCTGCACTGATAACGATGCCATCTCCAAGTCCGCCCGACAGCCTCATCCACAGCAAGCTTCAAGTCCTTCAAGCCGCCAAGGACCTCCACGAATGCCAAAGCTCTTTCGGGCTCAGCGCAACTGGTTCCTGGGTTCCTGCCTGTGCAGCTCGGTCTGCGCCCAAGCGCTCTTTGAGCTGCTCGGCATCCTGATGTAATGCCGTTCGTGAGATCGTCAGTCCCGAGAAAAGATCAACGGCCTTGGGGAATGTCAAGCCATAGGTCGTCTCGATCGCGAGGGTGTCCTCGCGCAGAGGCATCTGGTCGAACTGAGCCCACGGCGGCCCAGAGCCTCTGGGCGTGGCCCCAGTCGCCGGTCGTTTTCCGAGGCGCACTTAGCTAGGAAGCTTGCAAACCGGCACCATTGGAAAGCGAGTCAGCTCAGCGCTCAGCAGCCGGGATGACAACTCTGAAGAAATGTGCCCATCCAACCTCATGACAGAGTCGATCCCTTGCTACATGTAAGAAAGGTAAGGCAAGGTACGGGAAGCTAAGAGCATGCCACATGCCATATGCCGGAGTGTGCGAATGCGCGACATGAAAAGTGTTGTTGCCCAAGCTTTCAGAGAATAATGGCATACAGCCAGCTGCAAAGGGAACACTGCTGAATGTTGCCGTGCTGAGCTTTCAGCTCGCAGAACATCCCCACTTCGAAGTGCTAGGGTGGCCTGCATCAGACGAGAGCCCTCTGCCAAACACAGAACATAAAACAACTGCGAATCCGGACATGCACCGATGGTTCGATTCGATGGGAAAGACAATGAGTCGCTTCGTGGCACCTTTGTCAATCTTCGTTGCTGTAGGAACCCTGCTCCGTTCTAGCAGCTTGTGCTTAGACAATCGTTTTGACGATGCTTTGCACTTGTACCTGCAGCGCTGTCCCATCCCACCAACTTCATGAACCAGGAGCAAACACGGAGCGGGGTTGCCTCCACTGTCTGGCCGTTGACCAGCAGCGGGCCTGCACGCTTGAAGAGGCTCCTTGACATTCAGGGCTTGGAGCAGTCATGATCGTTCTGCCTAACATGCGGCGGTCTTTGCGAAACCAGGTCGGCACTGCTGGACTCTGACCTGCTTCGGCTTATACGCTCACTGAGTCTACACCATTCCATAACGGAGCCCATGCAGAACTCTGCAGGTACTGAGCGTAGTATATGAGGTGCCAGAGAGACGATCCCCTATTCCGCCATTCCGCTCCTGAACTTCCCAATCCCCAGCCCAGGCTATACATGTGAGGCCTTCTCTTCAAGGCTGCCGTGCAGCAAACCCGAAAGGAAGTTTAAAGCTAAGGACACCATGCAACTCAAGTCAGCCCATCCTTCTCCTCACGATCAGGCCATCCTCAGTCAACACGCGCTCCAACATGCAAAGCTAGGCCACGTGTCTGATCATCTGCCTGGCACTTCTTCGCCGTGTGGCCCACGAGCTGCGGAACAACCTCACGCAGGAAAAAACCGCGTGCTGACGAACCAACTCAACCGATGAACCCCTCTGCAATATGATGTACCACCCTGGCCCCACGCTCTCTCTCTCTCTCTCTCTCTCTTTCTCTCGCGCAATTCAACCGAAGCTGTCCAGGCCCTCCCTCCCAGCAGATGCCAAGGTCCGCACTTCGAGTCGACTGGCCTGCACACCTGGCCAAAGGCTCCGAAATGCACAGACAAGTCTCACCACTAACCGGAAAGTGATGTTGGGAATATGACAGGGGACACTACCACTAGGTATTCGGACCTCTATATTATTAGGATGCTCTACTTGCTGGGAAGCTTCATTCCAAATTTTTGATCCTGCGAAAACGACTAAGCTCTTCAATGTGACATAGGTACGCTCCGCATAGCAAAGTCGCAACAGAGGCTCCTTCGAAGGGCCTTCATATTCCGATTTTCGTGTAGTTAGATTCGTCAGCTGCCGCTTCATCATTGTTTTCAAAGCATGCCCTATGCCGAGAATTGCTTCCTATCCAAAGTTGGTATCTGCCATGCACTTCAGACTTACCAATGTTGAATGCTGATCGGATCCCGAAGACAGCGCACGCATCGATTCGATCGAGGCCGGCACATCGCAAAGAGCAGACCTCTGGTTGAACTCCCAGTCCGTCCACGCAAATCTCGCAGCTCGGATTGCTGCCAATATGCAGCTGCTCCTGGCAAGAGGAACACAGACTTCGTAGTGCTGCCCCTCTGGTGGAAAGCTTCCCGTTCAACCAGCTGAGATCCGGTCCCCTGGAAGGAGTGTCCACGTGAGGCAGCCGGACAGCAAAGGATCCAAGGAAACATTCACCACGTAGATGCGGCCATCGCTGACCTCGGTTCGGGAAGGGACATGAAGGGACCAAGACCAGGCGGCAGAAGGGGCGACTTCTGGCAGGCCTTCTGCTCCCAGGGCTCGCCAACTCGGAGCCCAAGCCGCCGCAAGCTCCGCTGACCTGAAAACAAATACAAAAAAGAGCCGATCTTCCTCATGTCCATCCATAAGATACATGCGTTGCTGCTCTGCCGTGGCGCTCCTCTCCTGGCCAAGCAAATGGTGCAGCATGGCCTACGGTCCACGAACCCTGCCACTCAAGGTGATTCGATGGCGAAGCAATTAACCGGAAAGAGGACAAACGATGGTGTTTGCCGCGTTCTGGCAGGCGCAGCCGGCAGACAGAGTGGGTAATTACGGTTTCTTCTGACACCTTTCGCAGGCATGCAGCAGATCTCCTGTGACGCATGGGCCTACAGAAGCGTCCAACCAATGATCAGCAAAACCAAGTCATGGTTGCACTATGTTATAATATAAAACTTAACATCAGATGATACATCGAGTGGACAGACCGCCGTCAAGGACGCTGGGTTGGACTGGTAACTGAGGGTGGGAAACCACACCTAACAGAGTGCCTGAATATATGCAAGTATGCAACACTAATCGATGGCCCTGAATGGTCCAATGGTGTGCAAATCCCCCCTTCACAACGAAGACTGGAAGGAGAAAAGACTCGAAGCCCATACACCGCGGAGGTGCACAGGGTTGGGCGGGAGGGAGAAAAAGTAACTGTTCGGAGCGGGTGGCTCGGCCCAGCACTGCTATGAACATCAGGACTTTAAGTTTAAGCTGCAAGCAGGCCCTGTCCAACCATCCTACAGCTTGCATGACAACATGTATCTGTGTATGATATGTATGTAACTGCCTGAAAATGGGAGAAAGGGGGGCAGATGCGAGCGTGAAAGGACTATCCACAATCGATTCAAAGACCCATCGTTCGACCGCTGTACGCGGTGCGCAAAAGCCGTGGAGCTCTTGAGCTGTCTGGGGGCTTGAGTTTCATGTCAGTTTGTTTATGGGCTTGCTGCTTGTGCTTCTGCGCTCCTATCATTGAAGAGTGATCGATTAAAAGCAGACCAAAATGGAAGCTCTGAAACCTTGACATCTGCTTGGAATCGGTGAGTTTGCCTCTGTATGGGCGTGTGGATTGGCTTTCCAACAGAGACCAAGACTCAAGACCGTGGAGTTGGTGTGTGGGGAGTCAAGATCAGACAGGACCGATTCAGGCCTGCAGCTCTTCGTGGGAGGCTGAATATTCTTCCTGACCAAAGCTGCAGGGCTGTGGAGCGATGTCAGTAACCACCTAAAGCATCCGGAAGACAGAATTTGGCTCCCACCTCCAAGTACTGCGCTGCTTGCAGCAGCTCTTCCAAGCCCCTGGCATCACCAGCATCGCGACGGGCTGTCTGATGAGTGCACTGGGTCTTGCAACTTCTCTCAAGCCTGATCTCGGCCGGGCTGCACCGATCCAGCCTTCAAAAATCCGTGCACCATCCAGCAAGACCAAACTGTGAAGGCGAGGCTTCCCACGGCCTTTGCCGGAGCAAGTGGATTTCACCACGCAGCGTCTGAACCTCTTCAGGCCACACCGGCAACGGCTGAGTTTCGCTTGTAGTCGAGAGCCGGGGTGCTGACCAAGTCTCCATGGACTTCCTCGTTGCGGGTGGATCGAGTGTGCAGTTTCTGCACCTTTCTGGCCATGGGTGCATGTCGCGCGAGGATCAGACGCGACAATTAAACCATGACTAGGACAAACTACTCTTGAGCTCGTGCTGCTCGGTCCCTGGCCGACTCCCCAAAGCGCAGGGCGGAACTGGTGAGGTCTGCTCGCCGGGAGGCAGGCCTTTGTAGCACCAGAACAAGATCGCACCATGCAGAAGCAAAGCTGTCTAGTCTGACCATTTCTCAGAATGGGACGAAACGCAGGTGACGACAGCCGTGCGGCAGTTCCTCAACCGAGTCCAGAAGCAATAGTTATGAAACTGCCGAAAATTGCAGCAGATGATATCAAACACCCTTTCTTCGGCAGATCGTACTTGCAGGAAAACGTGCCCTCGAGCGGCAGAGACATAAATTCCACCCTGTGGAGTAGAAGCACTGTGCAGGCGTCGTTTCAGGCAACGGCCCCATCAAGGCTTCTGCGAGCAGCAAGCTCAGTTTGCCTCGGGGAGCTACGCGTGTGAAAGGCTGACGGCCTTTTATCGCAAGACATGTACCGGAAGTTACACGCTCCCTGCTGGCAAGTCTCTGTCTCGATAGGGTATGTGGTACCGACTGCTTTCTCCTGCTGATGATCGTAGTCTTCTGGGAAGACCCGAGACAACACGCAGGTGGAAAGCAATCTCACTCGCCGTGTGTCGATCGGTTAGCAGCTGTGCATCGCTGCCTCGTGTGCCTTTGGCCAATGCTGCAACCATCTCGGCCATCCTGAGACATGAGGTTAACTAGCCATGTGCAGCAGACTTGAAGGAGAGCTTGAGAACATCGCAAGAAGCGTAGACAGACATAGCAATGCACATTGACATGAACGGGAACAGCGAGACGGCAAACACAACACGCAGGTGCACCACTCTGCATTTGCAATCTTAGATGATTAGTTAGATAGATAGACAGATAGATAGATAGATAGGTAGATAGGTAGATAGATAGATAGGTAGATAGATAGATGGACGGATGGATGGATAGATGGCTGGATGCCTGGATAGATACATACAGACGAACTTACGATGCGGGCAGCGCTTATATACCCGCTTGCTTACAATGTTTCTGTACCTGCTGGCGGTAGTAATTATTGGCGTGAAGGTGCTCGGTTGTACATTCACCTCGCTATGGAAATATGTTGAAGTCTGCAACAAGCCTGGATAGGCTGCCGGACAGGGTTCAGAGCTTCGTCAAGCTTGTGAAACTCCCAAACCATTCGCTCCTCCCTTCAGCTTATCTACAGGAAAAGGGCCTTGCGACTCAAAACTCTCATTGGCTTCGGTGCTTTGCCCAATCATCAATCAGCATTTCAAGCTCAGGCGGCTGCGCAGAAAGGCCACTGCTGCCAATGCTCTGAAAGGATCCCCGCTGTCGAGGCACTTCTCCTGTCACTTCGAGGGCAGCGTAAGGGCACCGTGCAACTTACGTGCGTCTCGAGTCCAGACAGTTGCAATACTGCTACTGTGTCCCTTTCAACAGACCACTTCTCAAAGTTCAGGGCCAGGGCACAGCCCTCAGCCGTAAAGGCAAACTATGCAACGATCGACTCCTTTCGGCTCCGTTCGAGATAATTTTCTTTCTCTATGTCAGCATCCTCCCAGGTGACGTGCAGTGCTCCGAACATCGTTGGTAATCCCGCTAATCCTTTTGAGTTCTGATGAAGTCACTGTGCAACGAATATTTGGCTGAGCAAGCGATGTCGGACTAGATGAGATTGATGTGAGGTTGAATGAAGGGGGACCTCCGCTAACGGGGCATGTTTTTTGTCCTACGAGAAGAGTCCTAGAGCCCTACTATATTTCATAGTTTGGCAGCGTCTCGCCCCCAAGCTAGTACGGCACGAACCCACACACATCCTCGCCGGCCTGCATGCAGGTGCTCTGCCCCAGCTAAGTCAACGACCTGCAACGAGGGCCCGCTGCCGCATCATGTCCGCAGCTCACTGTATGTAAAGGTGCAGCTTACGCCTGCAGTTTCGCATGTCGCCACTTCTGCTCTGGCCAGGTTCCGCTGCTTCCTGCCAGGACCTGGGCCAGACACGTCCCACGGGTGGAGGCTGCAAAGATGCCTTGCTCGCTTCAGCAAGGGCTGAACTTTTTGAGTCTAAGTTTTTCAATGCCACGAACAAGTCGGCATAGACCAAATTCATTAAGCGATACACGTGATGGCAACCGCGGCAGTCAGCTGCGGTTATGAAGCATTTTAGACCCTACGAGGCATCGCCTGAAGAAAAGCCTCACCCTCACCTGCTCCAGGTGCAGCATCGCAATGGCGGTGGACCGGGAGGATGGGGAACTTCTCTGAGCTGACGCAAGGACCTCTCTGCCACATCCGCTCGAATCACGCAGCACTGCACCATGTTTCTGAAGCAATCGATCCGCCATGCCAACTGCACATGTAGGCGTTCGACTCGGATCTTGTGTCCGTAGTCGATGAGTCTGAGGATATCCTCCTGCCGTGCTCGAATCGAGATACCACATCCATCGAGGACGGGATGTCTTAGGTCTTAGGCAGTGACTGCATCAGACACCACGCTGCGGGTGAGGCCTGTGACGAAGACGCCAGCCTGCAGACTGGACCAACGACCGTGCGTAAGAACCTACAAAAGCCCCGAGAGCCTTCGGATGCTCACAGACGTCCAGCACAGCGGGTGCCTTCAGATGCATGTGATTGAGTGACGCGCTGGTGTGCGCAGGTCTTGGCCGGCAAGGCAACAGACACTCGCTTGCCTCATGTTGTTCGCCGGGTTCAGGATGCAATAAGTCCCTGACCTGGAAAGGAGGCAAAGGCTTGGCGAGCAGAATGAAAGCTCGGAATGTTGTGGGCCACAGTGACACACAGACACAGCGTCGCGCAAGGAGAAGGCGGCAATCGAAACGGCAAAGGACACATCTAGAGGTGTGCTGGCCATGTACGCTTCAGCCCATGCTTTCGCCCTTTTCTTAGCAGCTCGGAAGGTGCGAACATGAAACGTACCGTACGGCACCCAACCACTTGCTGCTGAGCTCGTTGCCTTGTCGTTGTAGAGCTCCATGTAAGAGAGGGTGGCAATAGTCTTGCCATCCACCTCGCTTCGGATGCTGGGCTCTGCGCGCTAGCAGCGGCAGCATCGTGCTTTCCCCGAGTGCTACTCTCCTGTCACACCCAAAGCAATGACAGCTGTTTCTAAGCAGTGCGGCCGCATCCATGGCTGCAAACAGCTTCTCCGACAGCCGGGGTAGAAGCCCCCGCGCCTGAAACGAAACTGTCCGACTTGTGAGACTTCAAACGACTTCAGCTTGAAAAGCAGCAAAAACCTACCTCTCCAGGACCGCCGAAGATTGTGTGGCTCTTGCCACACCCCGTCGCTCCGAAGGCCAGGACGCAACTATGGTACCTTTCGCTTTCCACATCGTCTCGAGCAGCTTCTCGAAATTCTTGGCTAAGGTGGGGGCCCAGCAGCAAGGGATGCCACCAGCGGACTTCCTTCACTGGCACAGCACTGATGGTGGCGGACCAATGCGAAGCACCGCTCTGTGCCTATCAAGTTGTAGACTGCCGCTTGACCGGCCTTAGAGAGCCAGGGAGCGGAGAATGCAAGGAGAAGCCGCTCAACAATATGAAGGCAGATGCAACAGCAGATGCGAAAAGCAGCCCGTTTAGGGCGCTGACACTGCCAGGCAAAACGGTGTCAAAAACAAAGGTCTCCTGCTTCCTGCCCGTTCAATCCGGCCAAGTGCAACATGCCAAAACATACTGCGCTGCATGGGCAAGCGAAGACAGAGCCTTACCCTGCCACTTCGAAAAAACAACATAAAAAGCTCCTCCCTGAACATGTCCTGTTTGGCTCTACAGCTCCGCCCGATGGCCTTCCAGCATGGATCTAGCAAAGCAGCGACATGTAGTTGGCTACAGACGGTGCACTGTCCGAAAATATCAAAGTGTTGGCGATTGCCTGCCGTGCGCCACTGGGGCGACGTCGTCGAAGGAGTTGCTGTGATCACTTTGCCGACTTTGGGGCTGAGCCAGCAGAGGCTCTGCTGATGCTCGCATCGCGGCTGTTCAGCCCTTGTGTGCGGATGCGATGGCTCGAGTTGGCGTAGAAGTCGAAGAGCCGAAGGTAGCAAGTCGGATCGCGAAACGACTCACACTGGTCGGGTTGGCTGACCATGCAATTGCTGTGACATGTGTCAGGCACTAGCGGAGCCTTCGAACCAAACCGTATCACCACTGATTTCGCCAACGAATTCAGCACACCGCTCTTCGCCTCGTAACGTGAATTTTGCCAGGGGCATCGAGGTCGCACGCAACAACCTGTCGGAGATCAGCTCTGCGGTGACAGAAGGCTATGGTATGGACTGCTGTGCAAGATCGACAGCGTGAGCAGGTCAACCAACGTGCCTGCGTTTGTCCATCGGCAATTTCCGAGTCTGCCATGGGCCTTACCTCGCGAAATCGAGTTCGGGTGTCCCAAGTGTCCGGGACGATGCAAACCCAACAGCTGCTTCCCAAGTTCTGGACTCGTACACAGACCGTCACAGCACGTTCCTTAGACAGTAAGCAAGTAGCAATACTGTAGCTAGTTAGTCATTCACGCAAACTAGTGATCAACAACGTGCATGCCACCCAGCAAGAACCCATCTCAGCAGCTAGCAATCACTTTGGCGGGCTCGTCCCGCTTTGGTGCCGGCTCTGGCACGCACGCGCTGCCTGAAAGATCGGTTCGTGAGCAGTGATGTGAGGGGCCAGCTTGCTCTATTCAATTGTCAAGCTCCGTTCAACCATACTTACTCGGTCGGGATCGACAGCTGAAAGTGCAAAAGACTGAAACAGAAACACAGCACCTTCACAAGCGGCGGCGATTGTAGTAGGCTCCCGGCTCGGATCGCTTCCTGCTCGACTGCCGGGGAGCCTCCACTTAGAGACGCGACAGCATGCGCATTTGAGCTGGCGCTGTTATGGGCCGACCTTGCCTGTCCGCTGGGCGCGGGAGCCTGAACTTGAAACTTTACGTATCTCCACCCCTGTTATGTGCTACCTCAGGCAGAAGCTCAAACCTCGGAGTCGACGGCCTCCTCGCGCTAGCGACAGAGGATGGCCTGCCAGGACCGAATGCATCTAGACGCGTCCAGGCGGAATGGACACGGCACTGCGCAGCACCTGCTGGGAACCTTCGGCTGACGATCGTTCCTTGCCCGATTGAATCGGCGGACAGTCGACCACAGAGAACACGCTGAGCTTGGGCACGACATCGAATGTCAGACCATCACTTCGAAGCTGCCGAATTTTGTGCTTGCACAACAAATATAAGCAATTCAGATGTTCTCAAAATCACCGTAGTTTGTGTGTACAGCAATTCGGTCTACTACCTTTCTCAACAGAGTCTGTGTGTACAGCAAAACGGTCTACTACCTTTCTCAGCTCTTCAAGAACAACAGCAGAAGAGCACAACATACGCAGCGTAACTTCGGACGAGCACTCCAAGATCTTTGCGGAGTGGTACCATATCCATAATTATATGCATATCCATATACATGTAGATACGTATGTATGTCTGTATGCATGTATGTATGTATGCATGCATGTATGTATGCGTGTATGCATGCATGCGTGCATGCATGCATGTATGTATGTACACATACTGTATATATATATATATACACATATGCGCACAAAAAAGTCAAACTACCTACCTACCTACCTACCT